TGTAAATTAAAAGTCACCAAGGTTATGTAATGTAAGAAATTATTTCAGTCTTTGAAGAAAAGATTTCCTCAATGGGTCGGCGCCTGAGCGAGGACAGTGACCCAGACAAGGAAATCGATGTGGCACAGCTGTTCTTATTATACATCCATGGGCACAGCTGCAAGAATAGTGCAAAAATAAATGTGTTATGATGTGCCAAAGTGGGACTCTTCGTGCACAACTTTAAGGGATTTTTGTAAAAGATAACAAGGAGGCTGCAGATGTCTGTTCTTCAATATTTTAGTAACAATTTATTGAGGAAATGATTGGCAGATAAATCCCATACTGAAAGCTATGCGTTGTTTTATCCGTGCATATTTCTTTATACGATAAATGAATTATATGCTATAACATATAGTGAGAGCAAAAGCTTTTGTAACTTATTTCCTGTCCCTCAAAGTCTATTTATCAACTGAAAAAGGCCTGCCATGGAAAGCTGGCTGAAAAATGCAATCTGCTGACCCCAGACCAAATGGTTGACCGGATATTTGAGCGGGTCGATGAAAATAGAGATGGTGAGTGTTTGTCACAGATTTCTGACAGCTTAAAATGCTTCATGAATGATTCAAAGGGTCTGTGTCAGGCTGCTGGAATGGCTTTGTGGGATGATAATGGCAATGTGTGCCCAGAAAAAAGGAAGTTTTGTGTCATGGCTGTGCAATGGTCGTCGTCTCCATGCCACATTTGTCAACTCAGATGATGTTGCAGATGGACATGCAGTGTTGTGTTGTATTGCAGTTTCTCTGTATGTAGAAGACAAAAGTTAGCCTGACATTGTACAAAATAACGCTTGTTAAGGGGCAGCCTCTTTATTTTTATTGGTTTAGGTTCAACACTTTGATAATATTAGATTTGACCATATTTACCCACGGTCTTACACAGCTCTTTATTTTGTCTGTAATTAATAGATGCTACAGATATTTTCTTCTGCCATGAAAGTAACATAACGGGGTTCAATAAACATGAATGAAGCCGCCAAATGGTGTTTTTACTGATTTAGGATGTTTAGACCAATTCTCAGGATGGTGGTGGTTATGGAGGACGGAACATGACGTAAGTATAAATGCATAAATAAATGTATGAATAAAAACATGAATAAATAAATACGGCAATAAATAGATAAATAAATAAATAAAATAAATGCATAAGTAAATATGGAAAATAATAAATAAATGAATGTATAAATAAATATATACAAGTTGAGAATAAAACAGAACACACATTATTATAAATCTTTAATATATTTCTACATTTACGTTCACTTAAATGTATTTATTTATGTATTTCTGTGTTTATTTATTTTATTTTATTTATTTAATTTATTTAATTTATTTAATTTATTTAATTTATTTAATTTATTTTATTATAAGGCTGAACGTTTTAATGTTTTATTTTTTCCTTGTAAATATTATTATTGTTTTAAATATTATTATAATTTTTTGAATTATAATTTTATTGCTTTTGTATTTATTTAATTTTTGTATTTATTCATTGTATTTTTTATCATAATTTTTTCATTATAATTACATTTAATGTATTTATATATATATATGTTTTTAATTTTGTGTTGTTATTATTTTGTATGTATTTATTACAATTTTTTCTTTCTTTTATTATAGTATCAATATTAATTATTATTTTATTATTTATTGTCTATGTATCGATATCATTTTGTATTTTATTTGTATTTTTGCTTGTCATTTCTTTATTGTCATTATCATTTTTTATTAATTTATTTTATTTCTTATTATTATTATTTTATTTTGTATTAGTTATTTATTTTTAGTTAACATTTTTACCTATTCCTATTGCTCGGATCCAGTCAGCTGACATGGGACAGATCATGTTACCCAGCTGCTGTTTTGTTTAATTCAGAGTCATAGAGAGATATGATAATAATATAGATATATAATATAGATTTCTCTCTAGGGCTCTGGTTTAATTTATTCAGGAGGTGCCGCCCCCACCACAAAGTATCGTGTTTTCTCGCGAGAGGATAGGCATATTCCGTGGCTGCTCCTGCTTCAACCATGTAAAGTGACTAGTATATGAGCTATCCAGAAGCATTCCGAAAGTACCTTTATTCAGCATTAAAACGGCCACCTACAGTCAACTTTTTGTAAGTTATATTAATGACGCATTATAAGCTAGCTAACAAGTCTCTTAGCAGTTTTATTGATTGTTCAAGAAAGACACACCGAATAACTCACCGCTCAAGTGCTCAAATTATGTCATCTGCACTTGAAAGACCAGTCAACACTGACAGCGCTAAGGTAAAGCTAATACCTACACGAAAAACATATATAATTATCTTGGTTTTACATGGGCTGTTTCTATCATAGTTTCCCTTCCCATGCACCCGTGTTTATTTGTTGTGCTGCCATTGTGCTTTCACCACACGGTGCAATGCTGCCCCCTGCTGTCCAGCCCGCAGAAGACCGCTGGTCAGTGAGCTATGTCACCGGGGACCTGTTCTCCTGCCCCAGAGACGAGGCTCTGGCCCACTGCATCAGTGAGGACTGCCGCATGGGGGCAGGCATAGCAGTGATGTTCAAGAAGAACTTCAAAGGGGTAGAGGAGCTAAAGGAGCAGAGTGAGTCAGCCCTTTTATTAAAAATTAATCAGGAGTAAAGTGTCCTATTTTTGGGGGCATCGATTTCCAAAGGGATCATTTTGTTCTGCACAGAGAAGCGCCTCTAAAAATACTGGATGCTATTCTACACAGTATCACACGTCTATTCTGTATCAGTTGATACTGAAGTTGGATCATCATCATCCCATCACATGACAATATTCTGGATGCATCAGAATTTGAATTTGTTTTCTTTGGTAACTGAAGGATCACCACTAACATTTTAAATCAACATCTGTGACATTTATTTTTGCACAGCATGAATTCGTAATGGCTTCTTCAATAATGCTTTCAGTTTCGGGCTTCAAACAAACATGCCTTGAGTTTGTATTATGAGTTTCTTTATACAAACTCAGGCAAATATGCGTGTCTTATTTATTCTGATGGGAATATTATCTTTTTATCTCCAAACAGAAAAGCTGACAGGAGAGTGCGCTGTTCTAAAAAGAGAGAGTCGTTTCGTCTACTATCTGGTAAAGATGTGAAATGAAAATGAAATCTCTCATTTTAACACATATGTTGTACTTCATATTATTACTGATACTTTTCTTTTATGCTATTGAAGATTACAAAGAAAAAGGCCAGCCAAAAGCCCACCTATGACAGCCTGGCACGGAGCCTGGAGCACATGAGGTCACACTGTGAAAGTAACAGTGTAACCAGAATATCAATGCCTCGGTTTGTATAATATTTCAGTCATTTAGAAATACCTAGTCATCCAGGGTTCAAAAGCCACATTTTGCTCGATAAATACTTTATTTTGAATGTGATGCTTTGTGTTGTCTCTCCATTGTTTACAGTATTGGTTGTGGCCTGGACAAACTGCAGTGGAATAAAGTGGCAGAGATCCTGGAGCAGGTCTTCAAACCCACAAACATCTCCATCACAGTCTACAGCCTCCCTGAGAGACCAGAGAGCAAAGTGATGAAGGAGAACATGCGCAGATGATTGATTGAAAAGTTAGTTTATTGACATCAAAATGCACTTTTATGTTCTTGTTCCACATGCTGCCATTTTTCAGTGGAAAATTGTATAGAAAACCTGAAAATAAAAGTTTTTTTGCACTTCAAAAGTCAACCCAACTCTAATTTATTTTGCAAAAAATATCAACTATTATCTGTATCTACAGCCAGCCACTTATACCCAGTTTAACCTATTTGACAAGGTAACGGCTGCTTTCCACACACACAGACTAGACTGCTCACTATATGCAGATAATACTGGCATTTGTTCACCTGTCCCTTCTGCTAACATGGTATTTTCCAACAGGATATTGAGCTTCAAATATCAGGCATCTCTCTATTTACACATTCATCCACCAGGGCAATTAGGTTGTTGATTGAGCAAACAGTGTATTTGTATTTCTCCGTGGGCGTCGTATAACTTCTAGAGTGCTCATTGTTGCCTCTGCAGATGGACCAAGTATTGATCTGCTTTGGTATTGTTCTTCAAAGCAGCTGGGACACATGGGAGGCACCAGATGTGAGTCAAAAGAAAAAGAGTGGCAGGAAACCCGACACCACAAAGTCAATCACACACATACATTTTCCCCGGGATGGCAAAAGCCGTTTTAACACGAACTGAAGTGGAAAGCGGAGGGCTGATACGGCACAATCTCCATTTAAAGCAGTCTATCACATTAGTTGAAATAATCGAACTGAAGGGGGCTCCATATAATAATCTGACGACGTGTACTTCAGGTGTGTGAGTAATTATAGTGGACCTCGGTGGCAGTGAGACTGTCTGAACAATGTCAGTAGTTTGCCGTCTGTGACCCTCCCTCTCTCCTTTGAAGCACCTTCAATAATTCATGAGGAAAAGGCATTACCCGCTGTACACTGCGGCTGCCCCCCCCCCCCATACATCCATGGTTGGCTGGATGACTGTACTTCGGCATCACTGCAACCAACCCCCTCTCCTCCTCCCTTCCCATCCCCCTTCTTGCCTGGCAATTAGACTCCACACTGCAGTAGAGCCACCTTGCCACGCTGCAGTGCATGCAGGGAAATCTCCTTTCATCTGACCCGCTGCATCCCCTCAACACGCTGCGGCTGGTGCGAGCGTGCATCCAAATCTACCCTGTTTCCACCAAATAGCCCCTTCCCCTCTCTTTGTTCCCGTGCAGCTTCTGCTTGTCCCACTGCGGTCCAGTGATTTCGACGCCGATGCTCTCCCCCACTCTCACTTTTCTCTCCCACACACTCCCCCCACCCTCCTCTGTCCTCCATTCCCTTTTTCTCCCCTCTTCGCTCGATGCGTATGAAATTGCAGAGCTCAGCATTCTTCTCCACAGGCACTTAGGCGAAAAAAAAGAGAGATGAGCAAGGCGGGAGGGTTTCTGATGCACCACACAACTGGCCCACTTCCAATTAAAGAAGAGAGCTTATGTTATTGAAGAGCAGCTTAGCCAATCAGGAGGCAGTGCAGGCAAAGACAGCAGGAAAAAAGAAGCAGAGCGAGTGGGCAAGAGCAAGGGAGAAAAAAAAACTGCAGTGTGTGAGTGTGTGTAGTTTTTATCCCTCCCCTGAGCAGATCTTTATCAATTTGTGTACTCCAGTCTTGGGGTGCATTTGAATGGGTGCCTGTGTGTGTATATGTGGCAGAGTTGACAGGAGGACAGGGTAAAGGTGTGTCCAAATGGCTGTGTTAGACTCCTGACTTGTTCATTCTAAAACTGGAAATAAGAGAAAGTAAGAGAAGATTGATCATTTTTCTCTCTATCTCAAAGTGACTCCGAGCGTGTGGAGAAGGGGAAGAGCTTCGGTGTCCAGAGGAGAGCGACCGGCCAAAAAACGGTAAGCAGCTCCGTTCTCCTCCTACTACAGGCATGCTGTTTTTTTTTAACACTTCTGAAGTTTTTTTTTGGGGTATCCCTTTCATCACTGTCACCTTTCAGCCTTTCACTAGGCATTACATTCACATTTAAACATCATACTTTAATGATCGTTTTTTGTCATTAAAATACTTAACAGAAAAGCAGAGGGGGGGGGGGGGGGAGGTTAGTGCGGGACTCCCTGATGCTTCTAGGCAAGTTTCTGTGCACACGGTTCTCTCGTGCTGCAGTATCCCATTACATCCCTGAGCGGAGCTGCCTCAGCATCCAGCCAGTGTAAGACGCACGACTACAACCAGATACATATTTAAAAAAAATCACTGTCACAGTTTGAACTTATTTTTTTGTTCCCTGGATGGGATAAGAGGAAAGTGTTCTCCATTATACTGTGAATGCGCTGATAAGCTTTAAGTGCTTCAGCCCATTTTAGATTTATAGTACATGCCCTCACTGTGTATTCTGGGAAATATCGGCGCTGCTTAGATAACAGATTGATTTGGCCCTGATAGTGTTTGAGTTCTGGTTTTTGTTTGTCCACTGCTCCGGGACCTTTTTTAGTCTGAGATGCAGCAAAAGTAGACCCTCTGGTTGGATGAATGAGGCTTACAGTGTACAAAATAAAATAAAAGTAGTAGTTAAAAATGCGTACGTTATACACTTTGAAATATGGTTTATGATGATTGTAAAATGAGCACAAATAAATGAAACCTTGCTTCAGTGAAAGACAGATGATTCATACTATCACACATTTCTGCTTTTCCCCCCCAGTATTAATTATCACCTTATTCAAGCACATTCGCAGTTTATTTATTACATCCCACCATCTTCTTTTTTTTTTTTTTTTGGACGTCTGACCTTCATCATTTGTGAATGAAGATATGCTACTGTCCAGCAGTGGGCAGTGTGTGTTTCCTCTGTAGGAAATGTGTGTGAGCACTGGCCTACTGCAGAATGGGAGGACATAATGGATGGACTCAGTGTATTGTGTGTGGGCATGTTGGAAAGCGTCGTCAAACCGGATAAAGAGTACAGTTTGTACCGCTGCTTTCATATTACATGGCCGGGGGCTTATACCTTTCACCCTCAGATTGTAGCTATAAGACGACCATTAACCTGACCAAACTCACTGATCCTTGTTAGCTGTTAAATGATGTCTAAATTATTCAACAAAGAGTTATAGGCGGGGATAAGGAGAGGGCTGGGGAGGAAATGGGAGTCATTTCAGCACCATGGACAGATCCCAGCTCCCTCAAATACTTGAAAGCAGACCAGTGTTTAGGAATGAGGGTTGTATCAAGGCAAAGCTAATTCTTCTCACTATGCTTATTCGGATGACCTAATACATCTTCGGGGTGCACATATTTCGAATTCCCAATTTGATGTGACAGTCTGCTGTGCACATCTGCTCTTTCCCTTTTCCAGTTGAAAACACTTTTCATTATTCATGCCCCTCTCCTTTTTTAGAACACAGTCCATCTTAAAGAGAGGTGTGTGTTTGTAGAGGTGTTGAAAACTCAGTTCTTAGCCATTTCCTCTCAGAAAACCCTTGTCCTTCCTGCCCTTGTCTACTTGTGTTATCACTATACGCTCAAGTTGTGACTGCCGGTGCTGTGGTATTGTTCCACCTTCCTTTTTCAAGGCAAAGCTCGGATTGACACATGCTGCGGCAGCAAATATCTTTCAGGTTTGACACTTACTTATTATATGGAACTATATCGGGGCTAGCTCTAAATCTAATGCATATTACTTCAATAAAAGGCAGACGGTATACACGGTGTCTGTGAGTAGACAGTTAGTCATAATGTTTCCCTGAAATCACATTTAAAACATTTTGAGGATGGTGCTCAACAAGAGTGGCGTAATGATATGTCATTTCAAATGAAATATAAAACCTGTAATGGCAGCTGCCCCTATAGCTCTGACTCCTGCTGTCACAAAAAGCTTTGCTTCATATCATGGTTGAGAGCGATCAGCAAAGTGTCTCTGCAGGAGACCACCGGCACAGTGAGAAAGTCATTCAGAAAGCAATGATTAGAACCATGTGCGCCTTAATGGAAAACGGAAATGAGACCCCTCACTGTTCCTAAGAATTAGCCAGTATCCCCCTCTAAGATAGAAGCAAGTGTCAGAGATGGATCGGAGTTAACCGCTGATTTATGGGTAGTTTAAAATCACAGACCTGTATTCTGGGATTCACACAAACGTATGTGTAATTCAGTGTGATCGCAGCTTCTCCAACCAGGCTGTTCAGCATCGCAACATAAACAGTGTGGGCCATGTGTGAGAATTTACCTCGGCAAAAGCTGGAGAAAGAGCGCTTGCAAGTTTCATTTTAAAGTTGACCTTTTGTCTACTTCTATGTTTGCACATTAATGATGTACTGTAACTCTTTTCTGAGATCGGTGGGTTTATTTCTGGGGGAATGGAGCAGCTGCTGGGCTCGTCATAGCTCACCCTGCATGTTTGACACCCTCAGTCCCAGGCTGTGCGACATGGGTGTTTGGTTTGCCCCTGTAAATGATGGTGTGGGTAACATAGCGGAGCAACAGCGGCTGTCTCTGTGACCTGACTACAGTTAGCAACAATGCCCAAACCCTCCATATTAAGGCCCTGACACACCAAACTGACACCAAAGAACACGTCCCGACGGAACACGACTGTTGCGTCGCCTCACGTCTCCTGCTTCTTGGCCAACAGTCGCACTGGAACACACCGCAAAGACTTTAGCCGACGGCCAAGTAGCACGTACGAACTGCGCATGCGTGAGTGGCAATAACTCTCCTTACCAGCAGGCGGCGGTAGTGTGTATTCGTCATTCAAAAGAGGCAACAACCGGAAAACAGAGAAGAAGAACAGACTCCGTGATGTAAACAAACAACAAATAGCGTGTGCGTTCCATTTTCACTCTCGTCCATCGAAAACATGTCTTGTGCGGTACTGGAGCTATCAGCCATTGGAGTGTTGCTTGCGGAAGACATTCTTCGTGCCTTATTAAAGCGTTTGTTTACGTCCCTCACCTCCGTTTCGCTTCTCATGCACTGATTCGCTAGCTGAACAGCCAATCAAAAGAGTGATTTATTTGGCCCGACTGCCCGACCCGACGCATGTTGAATCGGCCATACGTCGGCCATGAAAGGCCAAATAAGGTGTGTCACGGCCGACGGTGCGGAACACACAAAATTGAGTTTGGGCAACAGGGCACGCTTCGTCGTCCGACTAACACCGACGCCGATAATCGTCCTGGTGTGTCCGGGCCTTTAGGAGAGGAGAATAGGTACTGTAAGAAACTCACCAAACAAGCAGAAACAATGTTGTGCTGTTAAACAGATGAAGTGTGCAGATGGTTAAGGTGATTCGACCTTGTTGGTGATAGGAGAAGGACACGTGAGAAACACAGTGGAGTGTTGTAAGGTCAGTCTGTGTGTGTGTGTGTGTGTGTGTGTGTGTGTGTGTGTGTGTGTGTGTGTGTGCCTGTGTTTGAGAGAGAGAGAGTGTGTGTGTGTGTGTGTGTGTGTGTAGTCTGTGTGTGTGTGTGTGTGTGTGTGTGTGTGTGTGTGTGTGTGTGTGTGTGTGTGTGTGTGTGTGTGTGTGTGTGTGTGTGTGTGTGTGTGTGTGTGCGCCTCTCCATGACCAGGAGAAGGCCCCTTTACTATTCTCTAAAGGAAAAGGTTACAGGACGTTTTTTTTACACGTATATTTATATAAATGTTTGCTTGTCAAGTGCATATGAGCGAAAGAGGGCAGGCTCGTTGAAATGAAGACTACAAGAGCTGAGGTTGTACACATGGATAACAGACATCTTAGAGTGTGTAGAAAATGGGGTTGAAAAGGACTGAAAGCAATGAGAGGAAAGGGAAGTGAAGAATGTAAGACAAGCGATACTCGTATAGGCGAGAGATAGAGCGAGGGATTGAGAGGTTGTCAGAGGCAGAGCTCGAATGGAGGAGAGTGGGTGTGCATAGCAGAGCTACGAGCACTGCAGTACATTGCAGTGCCCAGCCCCCGCTGCGTTCTGTGCTCACCATCCGGTTCCATGCACTGAGAAGACCCCTGCAGCCGCAGAGCTGCACGGCGCAGGAGGCATCCTCGCAAAGAGCTTTTGACCTGACGGCGCTGTACATTTCGAAGATGCACAGATTTTGAAGGCGTGATAGAAGCACGGTGTTCATGACAAAACAACCGACCCGCGCCTGCCAGTGCACATTCATGTAGAGAGAGGGAGTCGTTGATTCACGCTCCCCCTGGATTATGTAAGCCTATAACACATTAACTATACCCGATACTAGCCGAATGATCCTTCCTTCCCTGGTCGTGTCTTCCTCATTAGGAACATCTGCCTCGCTGTTTGCTTGTGTTCCACTGGTAGCATCTTTGCAAACAAAGACACAGACTTTATTGAGCTTATTGAAATGGCAACAATGGAGAGACAAACACCATGTGGCTTTAAATAGCTTCTGTGTGTATGCCTGTGCTTTGACATTTCGTTGACGAGGCTCTGTGTGGCGAATTACAAATAATGATGCCATGAATAGCTGCTAAGACCTTTATGTGATGTTGCCTATTGCTTTAAGGAAAACACGCTATTTATTCAGTTTGAAGTCAGGACGTGCGTGAATGAGTCACACAGGCTAGCCTGACACTGAAGTTGGATTCATTATACAGCCTTTTGGCTGGCCTAGCTGACACGCCATCACACAAACACACGTGTGCAGATGTGAAATGAATCTTAATCATGTGAGAGCTCTAGGAAACCAAAGAGAAGCTTGTTTCTGCTTCAATAAACAGTTGCTACGTTTCCATCCCACTGCCTGCCTGGGGGGCTGACGGCTGAAGCGTGAGAGCGTCCCTCTTTATACGTTCTCCCTCCTCTCTGCTGATGTAGCTGATTCACGTTGCGTAGTGTGGACTCTCTGCTTCCTGTGACAGGGCCTGATTGTGTCTCTCTCTGTGTCCGGGTGTAGC